AGTCGGGTGGGGTGGGGTACAGTGGTCCACATGAGGGAACAGCGCGTGCAAACCACCGAACGGGGAAGGGACTGTACATGTGAGGAAGGCTCCTGGGGGCTGAGGGAGAGAGGCAGGATCAGCAGAGGCAGGAAGGGGCCTGATGAGCCTCGCGGCCGTGAGGGCCTGCCTTTCTTTGAAGGCGTTTGGATTTTATTCAAAATGCAATGGGAATCCAGCCACTGAGGGTTTTAAGCAGGGGTAACACGACCTGGTTTCTGTTTTAAGAAGCTCTCTCTGGCTGCAGGGTGGAGACTGGGTGGTAGGAGGGCAGATGGGACCCGGGGAGACCAGGGGAGAGGTGAGGGAGCCAGCTGCGGTGTTGGAGAGGAGAGAGCGGGAGATGGAGAATATGCGAAAAATACTTCAGAGCTGGGGGTGATAGAGCTTGTTAATGGGTTGGAACGAGGGTGGGAGATATCAGTATCTATTTTTTTATCTACTGGTCTTTTGGTCCCTCTCCCCCACTAGAATGTAAGCTCCATGATAGCAAGGACGCTGTTGGTCCTGTTCACTGTTGGTCCCCAGGACATAACACAGGCATTTAATAAAGATTTAGCGCATGGTGAGTGAGTGAGTTAAGGAAGGAGAGGGCGGGATTAACGACAACAGTCCCATTTCTGGCTCAGCCTCAGATGGACAGTGGTGGCATGAGGGGAGGGGAGGACCTGGGAGGCAGAGATGAAATCAAAGCCCAGTGGCAGGGAAGTGGTGGAGGTGCCTGAGAGGGGCCCAGCAGGCAGCACGAGTGGGCGTGGAGAGCATGAAGGGGAAGAGGTTGTCTATTTGGGTCACTGTTGCACACTCAGCATGTAGAGCAGTGCCTGGAAGAGAGAAGAGGCTCAATATGTGTTTGTTGAATAAATAATGAATGAATGAATGGAGTTGAGAGGAGACTTCTGGGCTGGAACTATAAATGTGGCTGTCACCAGTGCCTAGAAGGTGTTCAAGGCTGTGGGAGCAGATGAGGTCAGGTAGGGAAGAGTGTATGGAGACAGAGAAAGGAAGGGACTCCCCACTTGCCACCCCAAATCAGGTATTGCTGATGTAGGAAGCAGAGACCCCAACTCAGCATAAAGCAGAGCCCATGGTTTTGGGAGACTCTCATGGAGTAGCCTGAGAAGCAGGCAAACATGGCAGAGGGTAGAGGCTGGCCCCACAGCCCTGTGGGGAAAGAAGAGGCTTCCAGCACCAACATCAGAAGGCCTCTGACCACTCTGACCTGGGGCCACAGCCCTCCTCCTGGTTCCCTCTTCTCAGCCCGGGATACTGTGGGCCCAACTGAGGCTGCCCAAGAAGGAGGGGGTCCTGGAGTCCCTGGCAGCCCTTGCTGGCCTCTAAAGCAACCCCTGCTGTCCGGGGCACGGGTGTGGTTACCACAGACCCAGGGTACTGAGCCAGTTTGTGCGCCCCCGGTTGTGTGGGTCCCAGAGTGTGCACGCACGAGGCCTGAAGCTGGGAAATGAAGGCCAGTGCTCACTGTAACAACACTGTCGGGGCCCCGGGAGGCTGTAGGAGCAGGCGCTGGGCACACATTGTCAACCCCAGGCCAGGGTATCCACCGAGTCACTCCAGACTAGACGCACTGCAAATGCCAGCCTCTGCCCTGACACACACCCATGACTGGCTGGGAAGAGGCAGACAGGGAGTCTCACAGGGAATTCCACTCTTGACTTAAGGACTTTAACGCAGAAGACCTGCGTTCTAGACCTGCCTCCAGCACTAACTAGCCATGCGGGCCCATGCGGGTCAGAACATCTTAGAACTGGAAGAGGTCTTCTAATTCAACCTTCCACACTGAGCAGAAATTCTTCCCACAACCCCCTGGCACATGATCATCCAGTGTCTTTCCAAACTTCCAGGGATGGGAACTTCCCTACCTGCAGGGCAGCCCCTTCCTATTCGGCAGTTTTGTTAGAGAGCGGCTCTTTCTCAAAAGGCCTGAAAGGACCCAACACCAGAGGGTAACAGTGTCACCTCCGGGGAGGAGAGTGGGATAGAGGGAGGGTGACCGGGCTTCCTTGTTGACTTGATATGGGATGTTTTCCATACTGTGTGCTAAATTTGTAATGCCAAGGAAAACAAAAAGTAAGGTTCTTCTTTATTTGAACCCAATCTGCCTTCCTAACATTTCCACCTATTGGTCCCAGGTCTGCTGTCTGGGATCAGAGCATCTAACCGTACTTCCCCTCGAATGCCCTTCAGATATCTGAAGGTGGAGATCACGTTTCCACCGCGTCCTCCTCCGGGCTGAGCTGCTCCTCCTGTAACTTGGTGTCCAGACCAGTCCCCATTGCAGTCACCCTCTCCTGAGCGTCAGACAATGAAACTCAGTGGGTTGCAGAAGGAAGGAAGCAATCAATCCCTGAGTTGGGTGTTACCTCACTCTAATTAGTTAATGAAGCCTGAGAAGACACCCCTCTCCCTTTTACGTGTGTGTCTGTGTGGGAAGGGCACGTTCAAATCACTCACTTCCTCAAGCCTTGGTTATCTTCCCCATAAAAGGAAAAAACAGTACCTCTGCTATGAGAATCAACTGAGATTAAGGAAATGAGAAACATTAAAAAGCACAAGTCCCTACCCTAGGGGTTATGACTTAGAAGCCCCATTCCATTTAGTAGCAGCTAAATATTGGGTTCACAGAGCCAGACTACTTGGGTTCAAAGCCCAGCTTTGCCACTTCCGGGCTGTGTGACCTTGGAGGAGTGACTTGACATTGCTGTGCTACAGTTCTCTCCTCTATGAAACAAGGATGATGATAACACCAATCTCGGACTGCATGTTTAGGAGCATTAGATGTATTGCCTGGCACTCAATAAATGTCAGCTATTTGGTATCAAGACCCCAACTCTTACTCCTTCACAAGGAGATAGGGCTTCACTGCAATGAGGCTAACTCATAGCACCTATTTGAAAGGTGAGGCCATCAAACCAAACTGGTCATCTGTTATTGGGGTGAGTTGCTCCACAATACGCCCCCCCCGGATATTTGTAAGCAACGTTTTGTGCCAGGCTCTGTGCTAAGGACTTTCCAGGCCCTGCCTCACTGAATTCTTCCAACAGCCCCACGAAGTAGATACTATCATTACTGCCACTTGATAGATGAGGAAGTAAGGTTCACACAGGTTGAGTAACTTGCTCAAGGTCACACAAGTAGGAAGCGAAGGCACCAGGACTCCAACTTGAGCCTGTCTGACGCCTAGTCAGTTTCTACCGGCACAGTGTCCCGCTCTTTCAGCCAGCTCCCTGGTTTGGGCTCCCCTCCAGCTCCGGGGACACAGCCTCTTCTTCCTTGACAGCGTTGCCTGCTGTTTCTGCAAGGTGGGGAGGAGGGGCGGTCTCCTGCTTCTCTCACGGAACCCTCTGCCCACCTGCACACTGCACCTCTCCCGTTCCTGGGGTCTGAGGGTGTCACTGGGGACCCCAGCTGCATCTCCTTGGGTCCCCTCAGGACCACCCTGACATCTGGTACCCTTGGGCCGCTTGCTGAGTTCTCAGCCTCTGACCATGAAATGGTTCCACAATGATCTACAAAAAAAACAGCCATTTTGGACGTGGGCCCTGATGCGTAATCTCATTATGGAGCCAGCAGCGCATCCCAAACCATTATCGCCTGGCCAAGCTTCTCCAAGGCGAGCGTGGCTGCAAATGGCTTTCTCCCGGCCAGGGGGGCCACAGCCCTCCTTGCCCTCTGCGGCTGGAGGAGAGATTTTATCTTTAATTGACAACTGGCTGCCTGCCACCGCCTTGCCCCCGCTGGCCCAGGCTCCCAGCCCCATTTCTCTTCTGCTTCAGGAACAGGCTTCCGCTTGCTTCTTCCCTCCCCTCAGCCCTGCCACCCTCACCCCTGCTCCCTGCTGTACTCTGTCCTTTCTTGGTGTGACAGACAAGAGATATCAGAGATCTGTGGAGAAAGGCCTGAGAGCTACAGGAACAGGGTGAAGAGGGAACTAACACAGTGTGCACCTACTGTATGTCATATGTAGACATACGGCACTGGGCGAGGTCTTTACACTCACTGTCTCTGAAATGGGGGCTATCATTATCCCCATTCTGCAGACAGGGAAACTGAGGTTCAGTGAGTTCCCCCAAGTTACCCAGCTAGTGAGTGGCAGATTAAGACTCTGAACTGAGGCCACTGTGACTCTACCATGCCTGGAGAAAGAGGAAGGCGTGAGAAATAAGACAAGAGTACAGAGAGCATATACGCACCAAGACCTGGCTACATAATTCACAAAGCCTAGAGCAAGGTGAAAACGCAGGAACCCTTCTTCAATAATTATTAGTAATTTCAAGACGGCAACAGCTGAGCATTAAGTCAAGCATGGGGTCCTTTGAGCAACTGCACAGTTGCATGCCTGTGAAGCCAGCCCTGCGTGTTCCCCCAGGTGGGTGTGAGAGGGACCACGTGTGACCAGCACTTAACCACTACCCCATCCTATCTGGGCCCAGCAGGCGTTCATTCCCCACCCCTAAGTGGTCCCAGTCGTGCTACCAGTCCCTTGTCGGCCTCAGTTTGTCAGCCATCCAGTCATCGCAATGACTCTGGCATCCCCAGGGCCTTGGCCCACATAGAACCGGGGCAATTTCAGGGAGGAGGGGTGGCCCCCTGCACAAACAAGCAGGAATACAGTGGAATTCCTTAAACAAACAACAGTCTTTTCTTCCATGTCACAGTTGGGGTCAGGTGGCAGCAGTGGAGACCAGAACACTGCCAGGGAGTCAGGGGTCCCGGGCTAGTCCTCTGTGTGACCTTGGGCAGATCACTGTTCCTCCCTGAGCACCAGGGTCGAGCTCTAAGTGCAGGGGTTGGGCTGCACAGATGATTCCTGGAGGGGGTGGGGTTATGGCAGGAGTGTGTTGTATTTCTCAGGTGTTGGGGTGGAAGCCCGGGGAGGTCCCCACAGACACAGAGCCAGAAAGGAGAGGCAGAGGCAGTCACTCACACAGCAGGAGCAGCAGACGCTCCAGATGTCTTTATTGGAGCTCGAGCACAGCACGACAATCCAGGCATGCGGACAGGGTGGCAGGGCCAGCCCGGGCATGCCTCAGACACACACGAGGGGACAGCTTTAGAAAACGACTGAACAACACTAGGGACGGACAGGGTGGGCTCGGGGATGGGGAGAGAGGCCGAGGGAGGGGCAGAGGCCAAGGTCGAAGGGGTCCCCTGGCCTCTGCTATTGCACGCATCCTCTGGCCACCGGCCAGGAAGTACAGTATTGCAACTGGTCTCCACTCGCCCGAGCCTTCCTCAGGCCCCTGAGCCAGATGGGCAGACAGACCCCTTCCCTGCCCGTCTGCCCAGCAGCATCTTTGAAAACAAATGGACGAAGGAGACAGAACAAAAAGCCAAAAAACAAAAAAGGACGAAACGCCCCCTCAGTCAAGGACACAGCTAAGGGGGAGGAAGGAGCGGAAGAAGCTGCAGGGGAGCCCCCGGCAGGCCCCCCACAACCGGGGCGTGGGTGGGAGGTAGAACCCCAATCTGGGGTGGGATGGGGCTAGTGGAACAGTGACCCTGGGGGACAATCTGGCCTTCCACAGGCCACTGGCCCACTGGAGAAACGCCCCCAAAAGGGACAGTCTAGCCTGGGACCACCCAGCTGGACTGGTAGTTCCCAGGTACACTTTTCCTGGGACATTCCACACACACGTTCAGCAGAAACAAGGAATCAGTAAAGGGGAAGGGACTGGGGGTCTCGGGGCGGGGGGGCAAGGGCTTGGGGAGACATAGCCTAACAAAGAAGACAGACCACCGACAGCACGTGCACTACACACAAGAGTACAGTATGTATGAATATAGATACTATATGTGCATATATATCTCTTCAATGTACAACAGAACAGAACGTCAGACCCGGATGGCTCCAGGCCCCGAGGGTCACATGGGAAGTTTTCCATCAGTCCTGTGCAATCACGGATATCTGAGTCTTTCCCAGCGAAAGATTCTTGCCTGGGTTCCAGAGTTCCCTAAGCCTCTGGCTTTCTGTCTCTCTGCCTGTCTCTCTCACGCTGGTGCCGCTTTAAGAGAGGGTGAGGACTTCAGCCTGGGCATAGTTGGACGAGAGGGCGTCTTGGCAGGTCTCTGTGTTTAAAGAGCACAGGTGTGAGACACTGGGACGCACGCTTTCGGCTCAACATTGCCTTCTGGGGGGCAAGGAGTTCAGCAAAAGAAAGGGAGAAACAAAGAATGAGATGTTAGAAGGAAGGGAGCTGCCAACCCACAAGCTGTGGGCTAAAGAGCAGGCCAGGAGCAGAGCTGGAAGGCGTGGAGACCCAGGGCTAAGAGGCCAGGAAGAGTAGGGACGGGTCAGGGAATGGGGTGAGCCCCTTCATCACCCCTCTGCCAACCCAGCTCTGGGCCAAGGTGACTCCTAGGTGATGTTACAGCTCGTCTCCACACCTGCTCAGGTAATGTGCCCAGGAACCACTAGCGCTCAGGTCTCCCAAGCTCCAGTGCAGTGTGGGGAGGGATCACAATTCTGCAGCTGGCATGGAGGCAGGGGGGACGCTCCTGGTGTGACCTATAGCCCACAGGCCATCATCCCAGCTGCTGCCTGCCCAACATGGGCTCCCCCTACATCACTCCATCTGCCATCACCACCTGGGGCTCCTTCACTGTCCCCAGGGGCTGGTGAAGAAGGCTCCTGAGTACTGCCACGTTGTGCCCAGCCCCCTTCCTCAATCTGGTAGGAACAGAGTCCCAGCAGTTGGAGGGTAAATGCTGAAGGGGAAGGTCAGGGAGGATGAATATACCCCTCTCAGGAGAGAAGGCCAGAACATAGCATCTTATTGAGAAAGCCAAACTCTCTGTGAGCCCTTCTCAGTATCCCATGCTCAGCCTGGGAGGTCAGTGTGGGCATTCCCTTCTCTCACTTTCCCAGCAGGGGCACAGGTAGAGCAGGCAGGGAGGCTGCTGTGGGGCAGGGATTTTGGAGGGTGATGCCCTCTGGCCAGGGCAGAGGAGGCCCTCCTCTCCCAGGAAGCTCTGCAAAAGGGCAGCCCTGGCCCTCTGGCTGGTCCACAGCCTCCCCTCTGACCACAGAGCAGCCGAACTCTAGGCTGAACAGGCACCTCCCCCTCTGGTTCTAGCTCACAGCCACTCCCCTCAGAAGCCCAGGGGGCTGAGAAGTGGCCTCTAGGGTTGTCAGTAGCCCTGGTACAAACGGGAAGGTAGGATTAACAACTCCTACCCAGGCCGCTTCCCTGCTCTGCAGGGAGGGGCTGGGCCCCAGCTGTGGGGGAAAGGTTTCTAGAAGCCAAAGTCATGGTACAAGTCTAAGTCCAGATCCAAGGTAAAGCAAACTCTCAGATTGTGGGTGAGACAGCCTTCCCCTGAGGGAGGCCCATGCAGACAGCCACCCCTCTAGGCAGAGCCTGGTGTACAGTGGGTCTCTGTAAACTCCAGGACTCACTCTGTCCTTGCCCAGAGCCCTGAGAAGTGGCTGGGGCACACAGCCTATTCAGCTCTCCCATTAGCTAGGTCCTGTGTCTCCCCTACAGAAGCCAGAGAGCCGGGAGGGACGTGTGGGAGCCCATCTCCTAAGGCGCTAGGGGCCCCAGCCTGGCACCCCTGCATCATGTCGCCCAGAGACATCTGTGCCCACCATAGGGGTGCCGTGAGCATGCCCATCCCTGTGGGAGGGAAGAGAGGGAAGGAGGCGGCGGGTACCGTGGAAACTTGGGCTCCTGACAACTTGAGGGCTGCCACAGAAATAGCCGCTGCAGTTCCCGGAACCAGAAAGGCAAGTCAGAGGAGAACAGAGCTGTGGGGTCTGTGCTAAACAGGACATCTAGCTCATCCCACCCCTGTCAGAGCCAGGACCCCGGCGCCACGGAGCCCTGCGGGGCAGGACTGAACCTGTCCTCACGAAGGAGAGGCTGGGCCCTCGGATGCAGCTGTGTGAGAGGGTGCCAGGCCATCTCCATCCTGCTCCTCAGGGCTTCCCTGTCACTTAAAGAGGCCTGTCCCCTTCTGAGGGGTGGTTGCATGGACGCCCCTGTATCTTTTCAACTCTTAAGGGGACACTTCATTCTGAGAGCAAGCAGGAGACAGGCCCCATAGACCACAGCAGGGCTGGGGTATCCTAGGACCCACCTTGAACAGACTTTTCTAGAAGGGACATTCTCATGGTCTGCCCAAGGCTGAGGAAGTCACCGAAATGGGGGTGCTCCTGGCATAGGCGTTTCACAACCCCCAATCCCATGAAATGATTTGACCTTTCTGCCCAGTTCACCTTAAAGGGTGGCCCCCAGATTTCCCAGCCTCCTGCCAAGTCCCTGAATGCTGTCTTGCCACACCTATCCATGCTCACCCTGGAAGGAGCAGATACGGACGGACCTTAGCCATTCGCTCTACAAAGTTGCATAATCTGACTCTAAAAATTGCCAGGCACAAGGCTCGCTGTCAGGTCTAATTCCCATCAGGTGAAACAGGAAATGTCCCGGCTGGGGCGCTTATCGTTCCTCGTCCCCGGGGCTGACGAGGGCCTGGGGAGCCTGGCTAGGTGCCTGCCGGGGGAGGGACCACCCACCTGGGAGTGGCCGGGTGCCGGTACAGGAGCGGGTGGGGGCAGGATGGCTTCTGTCCCCACACTTTCCCTCAGCTGCCCCTGCCCAGGGTGTGCCCTGCTCACTCAGTGACTCACAAACATGTTGTGCTCCCGGGCTCGTTAGGTAAATGAATACACTTAATTATAGAAATTAGATGAGTCTCCAGTTCTGGCAGCAACCTAGAGCGCAGAGGCTGGGTGGGAGCGGCAGGTGACTCAGAGGCTGGGCTGGCAGTTTGAGCGGGGGGAGAGGGAAGAAAAACTGTCGTGGAAGCAGAAGCAGCAGGTTGACGAGAGATGCTGTGGCTCAGGGCACAGATGGGATGCCAAGCTCTGCCTCTGGGTGTCGCCCTGGAGAGGAGGGCATCCCGGACCGAAGCAGCCAATCCTGGGGCTCCAACTCTATGGACCCCCACCTGAGCCCCGGGTCAGAGCTCGAGAACATCGGGCCTCTTCTCCCAGGGCGGCACTGCTCCTCTGAGGAGACAAGCCCCCTGGACACCAGCAGAGATGCCCCATGGGACAGCCTTATTCCTTGCTGGTCTGGGTGTGGGGCAGACAGACAGACAGAGAGACATTCAGTTGCAGGCCGCTTGGTTACTGGTTGAAGGCCACGAGGAATGGAATTGCATTTGCTGTGATTAAGTTGGGACCCTGAGGGGGAGGCAGGGCCCAGAGACACAGGTCCTGGGGGCACGGACACCTCCACTCAGGATGGGGGCAAGTGGGTAGAAGCCCTGGAGTAATCTCCCCCTTGCTCTCAAGCTCCAGAGCTGAACATCTGCGGGAGCAGGATGCTGTGGAGGAGAGGCTCAGAGGCCTGCATTCTCCTGCATCCTGCCGGGCTTGCTCAGGCTGCTCCCTTGGGGCCCAGGTCTGGGCAGTGCTGGGCCCCAGGAGGAAAGAGGGCTGGAGGGCGTGAGTGTGACTTTTTGTACATTTCCCCGGAGCGGGGAGAGCTGAGGGTGCAGCTACGGGGCCGAGCATCCGGGTGGTGGGCTGGTGAGGGGGTGGAAGGGGCGGGAGAGCAGGAGCTTTCTTGGAGGGTAGGGCGAGCTGTATCTCGATGCCAGTGGAGACAGCCCCAGACTGGTTCCAGCCGCGCCGGCTATGTTGTTTAGACTCCGGGACTTTTCACAGCCTTGGTGAAGAAAAGGCACACGGGTCAGAGGGCGCGGCTCCTTGCCTGAGCGGCTACACGGGATCCAGGTTCCAGGGGGCCCTGCAGGGCAGGCGCCCTGGGCTGGGAGGAAGGGTCTGGTCCAGCTGGGAAAGGCTACCTCACTTTTCCTGGTCTCTGGTCACCTGGGCTCCTGAGGATGGACCCCAGGGCTCCACACCCAGCTTGTCCTGTCATTGTCCCCAGTAAGTTTCCTTCCAGCTACATAAAGACCCCACAGCCTCCAGCATCCTCCTTTCTCAACCCTAAGAAGCCCTAATGAGCACCTGCCACCTTCTTCCCAGGGAGTTCACACTCTGACACACACGGGCAGCTACAGGCTAACGATGGGGTCTGCACTGGCAGCTGGAGGAGGCCTGGGCCCACTCGCTCCCGGGCCCAGTGTAGCCTGAGTGCAGAGAGTGCGGCATGGCCTGGCATGGGGAAAGCTGCCGAGCGCACACTGGGACTTTGGCGATGCTAATTGCCATGCTTGCTTAGCAGGGCCTGTTTCCCAGCAACCCACCTGTTCCCTCTCGAAGGTCACTCTAATTGGCTGAGTTACATGCTTGTTGCCAAGAAGCAGTGTGGAGGCATCTTGCAAATAGAGCACCTGGGCCCCATGAACACCCAGAGAGATGTGGTGGTGGGACGCAGGCTCCCCACCCCATGCATGCACACGTGCCACCCTTTCCCAGGTGCAACCTGCTCCCCAGCACCTCACTGTCCCTCCTCTGACTTGCACCCTCACAGCCTCTTCCACTGTGCCCCTCACAACACTAGGACGAAAGCAGTGTTGCTCAGCACTCAGCTGTTCGCTCAAGGCCTTCGTGGCAGGTGTGGTTCCCCCGCCCCACATTCTAGGCTGTCCACTTAGCATGTTCTGGCCAGAGCAAGGCTCTGGGTCCGAACCAGGACACAGTGGAGGCCACTGCCTGCTTGGGGTGGAGGACAGGAGGGATAGGCACACCCAGAGCCCAGGGACCAGGCCCGCAGAGGCCGGGGGTCACCAGGGAACACAGGAGAGGGTGGAAGCAGTCTGAGTACATCCATCTGCAGCCCTTGAGCTGGGGCCTCTGGGCCATCTCCTTCTAGCTGCCAGTTCGCTGCTCCTGCTCCTGCCACCCAACAGGACATACGCCCAGCAAAGCTGGACACACACCTCTCAGGGCCTGGTTAGGGTCAGGGCATCCTGGGGAATCCAGTGGGAACAGTGGCACTGAGCAGGCCAGGGAAAGGGCCTGGGAAGCTGCCCATGGAGGCTGCATGGGCTGGGCAGCCAGGGGACATCCCTTGGGGGCCACAGGCATCAGAGGCTATTCCTGCAGCAGCCATTGCCCCTGTCTCACTTAACCCAGTCTTGGTCCAGAATTTGGGGATAGCAGGAAGTAGGGGAGGGGGACATTTGGCTGAAAGAAATGGCCTGAGAACCCAGGAAAGAGCCCTGTTTTGGGAGGAGTCAGGGTTTATCCTGGAACTGAGCAGGGTCCAGGGCATCACGGGGACAGGACAAGAAAGACAAAAAAGTGATCAGGAACTGGGCAGAGGGAACATCTGGCCCTGACACCCCTGGTTCTCAGTCACTACTGGCCATCTTTGGTGGCCACTACTCAACCATCCTTGGTATTTCTGCCCCCTTTTCAGGCCAGGAATCCCCAGCTCCACCACTCAACTTCTGCCCCGCTCCTGCCGCAGGCCTGGGGCCTGCTGAGGGAATGCCAGCCTTCCCTGATGGAAGAAATCAGCTGCTCCCTTGAACCCTCGAGATACTTCAGAACACACCTCAGAAGGGCCCACTCTCCCAGCCCACTCCCACCCCATGGTCACCTTCTGGCTCTGCCTCAAGAGGACAGTCACCTCCAGGAAGTGCAGAGCTGGGTCAGCCTCTCCTGGGCTCCAGAACCCACAGTGCAGGATGGAGGAGGCGGGGCCTGGGCCAGGCTCTCTGGAGACCCCACACCAGCACCTCGTGCTTCCCCTGCCTCCTGAATGTTGCAGGCATCTCCTGGGACCACTTACTCAGGGAAGCCTTAGCCATGTTTAAGGAAGCCTTGTGAAAGGCTGGCAGTGACCCTGTGGAGCCAGGCCTGAAGGTCACAAGAGGAACCAGAGGAAGAGAAGGTGATGAAATAGAGGGGCCAGGGCCTCTGATCTGGTGTCCCCTCACCCTCTAGCACTTGTCTTCCCTGGGGGCACAGGCTCTGTGTACTTTCTGGGGATGCTGGAGGCCTTTCCAATCCAGGGACTGGGAGATCAGGGTAACCATCCTAAAAGCAGGGGCGTGTCCAAGGCAGAGGAGAGGGTGGCCAAGGCCTCAGGGGAGGAGGGGACCTCAAGCTTTGTGGCGGACACTGGGGAGACTCAGTTCCGTGGGGTCTCCCCACCTGCCCAGCCTGGGGAGCCATACCTTTCCGGACACTACCATCGGCACAGGCATAGTCCCCAGCGCTGAGCAGGAAGCAAGCAGCTGCCTTCTTGTTTCTGTCTCGAGTGCCAGAGCGTCGCAGGGCCCGGCGTTCCTCAGGGGAGGGGGCGGAGGCCAGGGGCTGGGTGAGGCCAGCTCCCTCCTCGTCTGACAGCACCGCATTGGCATCGCCATTCTGCTTGGAGTCTAAAGGGGGCAGACAGAAAGGAGGCTGTGTGAGGGGGCTGCCAAGGTCTTCCTCATGGGGTCCTGGGGTCTCTCAGATCCCAGACCTTGAGTATCACTTCCCAGACCGGAGGAGGCAGGAGTGTTGCCAGAGCCAGGGAGTGCGCCTGGTCCCGGGGGCAGGATACTGGCTTCCCTCCCAGCCTTGGCCTAGAGTCTTTCCTGGGAGATGGGGCCACAGATACCCTAAGGAGGGACTCCCCAAGTCTGCCTGCTGCAGGCTGCCCCGTGAGATCAGCCCAAGGCAGGTGGCAGACTCTGCTTCCTTCCTGGGTCTGGCTCAGGCTGACACTTGGATGAGTTTGCATTCCTCGGAGGATGCCCAGCTTGTTGGAGTGAGAGGTGGCAATGCCCGGGTTAAACTGACAGAGTGGCTTCCACGGCTGTCCCCCTGGACTACCTGAAGGCAGTTATCTCATTCACCAGGCATCCAAACTGGGGTCGAGCGCTCAAAGGATTTACAGCCCTCTGCTCCCGGGGCTCACCTGTGTGTGGGGAGGACCCTGGAGGGAAGAGGCTCCATTTTAGCTCCCACTGCTGTGGGCTCTTAGCCCCCATCTCCTGCTCCATGACACAGCAGCACAGATAAGCCTGGGCCCTTGGATCTGGAGAAGGGGCCGCTCCACCTGAGGGCAGTGGCTGCAGCATTGGCCAGGCTAAGGCATGGCTGACAGGACCATAGGTAAGTGTAAATTGAGAAGCCGGCCTAGTGGCTTGTACATTTTGATATTAGGTTTCCCTCTGAGCCCTGAATGCGCCTTGTGGTACAGCTGGAATTCCCTGGGGCACTGGCTGGGAGATTTATATTCAGGGATTGGGGAAGGGGGTACCACTTTGGTGGGGGAGAAGAGAGGAGCCTGATGGGTGCTGTTCCATCAAGATCTTTGGAGGACCCAGGCCCCTGAATGACCCCAGGGAACGACTGGCTCCAGCATATATGATGGGCATCCACCAACAGGCCACAGGTGAGTGTCCTGAATCAGACACCTCCCTGGAAGATGAGTCCCACTCTGCCCCCAGAGCCTAGCCAGGAGCCGCTACCTTAGTCTCCTGCCCCACCGCCGGCTCCCTGATGGCCTGGCATCCAACGGCCCTGTGCTAGGAGTCCTGTACCTCCCTCAGGAGCCCATCCCTACTCTCTATTGGAGAGCCCCCACTCTCCAATCCAGCTCCACGTTGTTGTGGGTGAAGCTGATCTCCTTGCCCATCTCCTGACTCAGGTGGAGGCGAGCTTCCCTGGGGTGGCCTTTCCCATCCTTGAAGAAGAGGATTCAGACCCCCGGGCCCTCCCCTTCCAGGAGGCAGATGCCAGTTGCTTCCACCTTTCCCCTTCCCAACACCGTCTGGGCCACTCCTTCTTCGTCCCTTTCCATCCCACGTTCAACCCTGAGCCCAGGACTCAATCTAGCTTGTGCTGAACAGAAGGCAGCCTCCCACTGCTGTTACGTTATCGCATTTATTAGGCCAAGAGACACCAGGCTCGAATGTTTGGAAAGAAATGATTCATGTGTTGATGCACCTTGGAAGAATAGCTGCCCTGCTCTCCAGCTAATAATGACAGCACCTGATATTTGTAAAGCGGTTTTAACTTCTCAAAGCACTTTCACATCTGTCATTTGGGTCTCATCAAAATCTTGGGGGTAGGATATTGATATCATTCCCATTTTACAGGTGAGGCATCTATACCCAGAGAGGGTGAGTGACTGGCGTCAGGGCCACACAGCACAGTGGCCAAGATGGAATTAAAAACTCAGGCTTCTAATTTAGAGCTCCATGCACTGCCCATCGCAGCCTAAGGTGAGTGGGTTACTCACTCTACAGACCCTGATGTTCAGGAAGCTATCAGAGAACCAGAGGATAGAGATTCGGCCTCAATACATTCCCTCATAAAGGTATGTCTTATACTTAGGGAAGCCCAGAGCAGTAAAGCACAATCCCAGCTTCCAAGGGTTGAGGATTCCTGTGACCACTGAGGGAGAGGTGGCTTTCCTTCCCAACCCCCCATCTCACCTGCCCGTTTCCTCTCGACCATTCCCTCCTCCAGGGCAGGGGGGCTGGTGTCACTGTAGGTGCTGTCCCGGGGCGAGGACTCCTCGGACTTGCAGTAAATGGGCGACTCGAGCTGGGGCGGCCGTGGCACATGCTTCTTTCGTTTCTTGGGCAGCTTCTGCTTGGCCATGGCCAGGGAGTAGTACATGCCGAAGTTGTTGACAATGACGGGCACGGGCATGGCAATAGTGAGCACGCCAGCCAGCGCACACAGCGCCCCCACCAGCATGCCCGACCACGTCTTGGGGTACATGTCCCCGTAGCCCAGCGTCGTCATGGTGACCACGGCCCACCAGAAGCCAATGGGGATGTTCTTGAAGTCGGTGTGGTCGTTGCCCCGCGGGTCAGAGGGCCTGGCGCCGATGCGCTCAGCGTAGTAGATCATGGTGGCAAAAATAAGCACGCCCAGCGCCAGGAAGATGATGAGCAGCAGGAACTCATTGGTGCTGGCACGCAGGGTGTGGCCCAGCACTCGCAAACCCACAAAGTGGCGCGTGAGCTTAAAGATGCGCAGGATGCGCACGAAGCGCACCACGCGCAGGAAGCCCAGCACGTCACGGGCCGCCTTAGACGACAGGCCGCTCAGCCCCACCTCCAGGTAGAAGGGCAGGATGGCCACGAAGTCGATGATGTTGAGCAGGTTCTTGACGAAGTCCAGCGTGTCAGGGCAGCACACGATGCGCACCAGGAACTCCAGCGTGAACCACAGCACACACACGCCCTCGATGTAAGTCAGGATGGGCTCTGTCTCCACCTCCCGCCGGAAGTGCACGCTGGTGGTATTCCCCACACGGTGGATCTCCGTCACGTTGCGGTCGATGTTGAAGGCCTCGTGGGTCTCCAGGCAGAAGGTGGTGATGGAGACCAGGATGAAGAAGAGAGAGGCAAAGGCCACCACCTGCGGGCGGGGAGGAGCGTGGGGGCAGCTGTCAGTCAGGATGGATGGGCCCAGCCAGGACAGGGACCTCTGCTTGGGGAGCGTGGGGCATGGGTCACCAGACAGTCAGTCCCATGGTGAGAGGCGGGATTAAGATACACAGTCAGGGGCTGAAACTCCCTCCTCACAGGGCCTTTGTCCATCTGCCCCCCGTGCTTTAAGGCAATACTTCCCCATCTTTGTCAGGTGCACAGAAGACAGAGGATGCTCTTGGCTGGAAGCAACAGAACAGGGAACTAGAGCTGCCCGGCCCTGCCTCCTGCCTAGCTCTGGCCACCTCTAACCCAGTCGTGCTTTAAAGCTTCTCACACTGTAATGGGTATATAAATCATCTGGGAATCTTGTTAACATGCGATTCTGATTCAGGAGGTCGAAGGCAGGGCCTGAGATTCTGCATTTCTAATAAGCTCTCAGGTGAGGCTACTTGTCCACAGACCACACAGAGTAACTAGGCTTTAAGGCTGTGTTCCTCAGAAAGGCCATGGACCAGCAGCCTCAGCATCACCTGAGAACTGGTTAGAACTGCAAACTCTCGGGCCCCACCCAAACCTACAGAAGAAAAATGCCGGGGGCAGGGCCACAGTCTGTTTCAACAGAACTTCCAGGTAACTCGGATGCGCAGTAAATGTTGAGGTCCACTGCATTAAGGGATATGCCCAGAGGCAGGGGGCTGGAGGGAATGACCTTGGCCCTCTTTCTGCCGCTGAGCCTATTAAGCTCCAGCCGTGACCCACCTCGTCAAGTCCCAGCCCCTCCTCTCTCTCGCCTCTCACCTTAGGCTGTCCCGGCTGACTGCCCAGACCGTGAGATGTGTCGGAAGGAAGACGACATGCTCCGTGGCAGGAGGCAGGGTGGTTTGCCCAGAATAACCGCCCCTCTCCGTCCCGAGAATGGACATTTCCTGGGACATGGAGCTCCAGAGAAAAATAAACTGCACCCACTGGGATCAGAGAGTGGCAGCGAGTGATCCAGACAGTCCAGACATAGAAAGATGACAGTGGCAATAGGTGGAGGAATGGCTGGGCTTAAGTGTCCAATCATTATGAATGGAGATGAAATGCACGTGTAATAATACAATTGCAGAGCCCTCAACTGTTATTCATGTGATGCCATTCACCACCGTCAGGGCACCAGTTGCTGGGGTCCATGCCCCCTGCTGCTGCCTGTCCTGCTTGGTGGGTGGGGGGCTTCTTCCCTGGGCAGAGGGCTGAGCCTAAATAGGTGGATGAGGGAGGACCGTGGCCCCACTACCAAGTGGCAACCCCCATGCCTCTCCCACCCCAATCTCCACCTGGCCACAGTGTTGCCCATTTGATTACGCCTCTCAGAGATGTCTTCCTCCCTGGGAGTCTGCACTGGTGGTTGGGGGGAGGACTGAACACCTATTCTTAGTGTAAAACAGGAGTGCAGAATACAGGGGATCTGGGAAAACAAAGGAAGGAGCACCTCCAGGAGCTCCTTCTGGAGCAGGAGCAAGTCTGAAGAGGAATGAACGTTCCTGAGCTGTCTATTCTGTGCCTGGCACAGTTGGGTACTCTGTACGTGTTACTGCCTTCAGTCCTCCCAGTGACCCTGCGAGGTAGGCCTCATCATCCCATTTTAAAAAGGAGGAACTGAGGATCAGAGAGATTATATACTTGCCTAAAGTCACACAGCCTGGAAGGGGTGGAAACCAGACCTGAACTTGGTACTGTTTAATTTCAGAGGCTGTACCTTCTCTTCACACCACATTGTCTTCACCACCTCCCAGGCAGGGTCTATTCATAGGCCCAAGAAAGCCTTCCCTGAATTGTCAACACTGCTCCCAGCCAGCTCCTTGATGCCTGCTAGTTCATGCTACGGATGTGTACCTTTGGTATAGGACAGACACCCATCACACACTAAGACATCTTATTTACACTTGAATATGGACATGTTGATTGGATACAGCAGAGGAGGAGGAGGGCTAGTGGACCACAGACACACTTTCCCCACTTGACAACCTTGCCTGGAGCTTCTCCTGCCTCTTCTCTCCTGTGAAGGCCAATTTCAAGTTCCTTCTCTCGCCTCACTTTTCTTCCCCTGAGAAATGGGCTGTCAAGGCAATAGAGGCTGACATGGGCATCGGGGAGACGGCCCCAGCCTGTGGGCTCTCCATGGCCGTCCAGAGATGAGCTGGGAAGGCACCTGTCCAGAGTCCTGGCGCTGCCCCCTCCCCTGAGAAGCAGAGGGGCTTGGGGTGAGGCATGGGGACAGCACATCCTGCTCTGCCAGGAAGTATGGGAAGCGGGAACTTGCTCTCTCCGAGGAAAAGTTAGTCAGGAGAGTTGGCCCACCTGGGAGCCTGAGCATGAAGTTAATTAGTGATTTGGAAAAACAAGTCCAGGAAGAGCTGCAGAGGGGCTGAGCCCAGGGCACAGAGAGGGGGTGGGGGAGGGAGGACGGTGTGGCCCAGGGCCACTGTCTCACTCGCAGGGCCAAGGAGCCTGCCTTCCTCAATTCCCACCACCCACCACTCCTTCTGCAGACGGTCCAGTAGGTGCACATCACCCTTCCTGAATTCCTGCAGCCTTCACTCACTTTTGCTTTTTCTTTTAAACACAGAACTGTCCCATCTCTTTACTTCTACCTCTCACCTTCACCCTCTCAGAAGATGAGGGCGGGGAGAGGATAGCCACATGTGCTCACTTCTCAGGGGCAAGGGAGGCACGACAGAGGGCAAATGCCTCACTCAGGACCAAACTGAGCCCAGGCCTCCTGACTCCCAGCTCAGAGCTCTTTCCACTTGGTCCTCTACAAACAAGGTGGGACAATCCACCCCTTCTTGATGAAACCTGGATGGGCCTCCGTCTCCCCTGAAGCCTCTCCAGGGCTGGCAGCAGGTGCCAGGCAGGCCCCAGGAAGCCCTCCCTCCCCCAGCAGACAGGGAGAGCTGAGGCCAAGCCATGATGGAGGCAGAGGCCTGGGCTCTGGCATGTTGTCCCAGGTGGGTCCCAAGGTTACAGGTACCCCTTCACGGCCCAACTTCTTCCTTTCTCCCCTAAGTTATTCCCCAAACTGAAGTGTTTTGTAAGCGGTGCCCTTGCTGGCACTCAGTGCCTCTCACCATCAGGGATGCTTTCCTTCTCACAGCTCTCTTGACTGGGGCGCTTCCCGGGACAAAAAGGGCCCAGGGAGGAGGCAGTGGCTGCAGCATACCACCCTGCTTAGAGGTCAAGGCCTCGCTCCTATTCAGCAACTCCCCTCCCCCACCAGGCATCCTGCAGAACTGGCAGTGCTCATCTGAGCCTCCTTCCCATCGGCCACGGGCACCTGGCCCTGCCGAGGGGACGGCTGGGCCTCAGGGGAGCCAGAGACTGAGGGCGAAAGACCGCGAAGAAGCCCTGGAGTCAGACTGCTTAGGTTCCTCACCCTGGCCCTGCCACTCAACCAGGCAAATGGCGTGCTGGATGAAGAAACTGAGGCTGGGGGAGGAGTGGCTAGCCTGGTGCCCATGGCCGAAGCTCTCAGCTCTTTCCACTGCCTGAGGACCCAGGTTGTGGATTCTACCCGAAGCCAAAACTGCCCAAGCGGAAAATGGCTTGTGTGACATAGTTCCGCCAGCAGCAGCTCCTCTCTGGCCTGCTGGGAGGAGGCAGGAGGGTCTCGCCACCCTGGACAGGGGGTTCCCAGCCTCTGCAGGACAGTGCTGCTCCTTCAAGCGTCCTGCTCCCCTCAGGCCCCTCACGCTGGCTGGCTGTAACCTGTTGGGGACACACCGTCCCCAGAGACCCAGGTGTTTCAGCTGACGGGCCAGCCCTGTGACCAGCTTCCTTCACAAGCTCATCCTACAACTGTCCTTGGTATAAACGTAAAGTCACACACTTCTGGGTACACATCTGGCTCTGCTACTTCCTGCCTGGGAGATCTTGGGCAAGTTTCTTAACCTCTCTGAGCCTCAGGATCTTTGTTCATAAAATGGAAAAGTGAGTACCTACTACGTGCCAGACCCAGTTCTGGGTGCTGGGGAACATCCGGAAACAAAACAGATACCCCTGCCCCTCAGACCTCACATTCTAGTGGAGGGAGACTGTCAACAAGTAAACAAGTAGAATAGATAGTAGGCCAGATGGTATAAGAATTAGGGAGAAAAATAAAGAGAAAAGGCAGATAAGGAGTATGAGGGTGGGGGAGCTATTTCAAATAAAGGTGGTCAGGCAGGGCCTCAATGGTAAGGTGATATCTAAGCAGACACCTAAAGGAGTGAGGAAGTGAGTCATGTGAAGATCCAGAAAAGCTTGAGGGACAGAGGGAACAAGAGGCCCTCAGGCTACGGCATGCTTGGTGTGTTGAGGGATAAGAGTAGTATCTACCTGATAGGGTTGTTTTGAGGATTAAAAGAAATGATATTTGCACAACCCAGCACAGAGCCTAGAGTGTCTCAGGAATCTGGCACAGGCTGGGTGGGGGGGTTGGGGGGAGAGGTGACAGACACCAGTCATTGGGAACTGAATACAATCAGCGGGGGCAGGGGAGGGGAGCCCAAGGAGGAAGGGCCAAGGAGACAGATGGACAGATAAACATAAGAAGACTCATGCCCAAAAACCTATATTAAGGATGGAGTGTAGGAGAAGAGAATCTTGAGAACACAGCCAAAGACACTTGCAGAGCAAGATCTGTGGGGATGGGATGAGGAGCGAAGCCTTCCAGGGAAGTGAGATCCTAGTGCCCAGGCAGTGCTGGAAAGGGAGTGGGCAGCCGTGGGGGCAAAGAGGCAGGAAAGGAGAGGGAGTCTGGCAGGCAAGGGATCTCTGAGCCGTCCCTGGGCTCCTGGGTGAGGGCCGGCTAGGAAGCCCAGTTCCCAGCCGAGAGACCCCCACTCCTCTTCCGTCATGGGCTCCCCCAGGAGAACCTGGCCCTGCCCCCCACCCCATCCTGAGCCAGGACCCTCTGGTTCTAGTGTCCAGGGCCAGCCTCCACCTATGCTCATCTCCTGCCAAGAG